AGTCCACACAGCCTCCTTGCCTCTCTCTGATTATTCCGTGCGACATTCCACAGTCCACACAGCCTCCTTGCCTCTCTCTGATTATTCCGTGCGACATTCCACAGTCTGCACAGCCTGCTTGCCTCTCTCTGATTATTCCGTGCGACATTCCAGAGTCCACACAACCTCCTTGTCTCTTTCAGATTATTCCCTGTGACATTCTGCAGTCTGCACAGCCTGCTTGCCTCTCTCTGATTATTTCCTGCGACATTCCGCAGTCCACACGGCCTGCTTGCCTCTGTCTTATGTTTCCGTGCGACATTCCACAGTCCACCCAACCTCCTTGCCTCTCTCTGATTATTCCCTGCGACATTCCACAGTCCACAGTCCACAGTCCTCGCCTCTCCGCTTGCCGCCTTCACATCTCGCCTCCACACATCCGCCCAGCTGGCTCTTGTGAATCTGGATACCCGTGCTGGCGATGAAAATGCGGAGGACGCGGCCCGTCACTCCCCGGTATTGGCCGCCGTCCTGCGCAATCCCGTTTCCCAGCAGGAATCCATTGATTCCTTCCCCGGAGAAGCACAGACGCCTCAGAGGGTGCCTCGGTCAGAACCAATCAGCCCGAAGCCCCGCGGCGTGGGGCTCTGGATCGGCACTCGCACGCGCTGGGAGACACCATGGCTGCGTTTTGGCTCCGGTTGGTAATTAAGACGTCCTGAAGTGCAGAGGGAGTGCAAATCAGCGTGGAGTTTGGCAGCCACACACCCGTGTGTCACTTTCTACCCTTTCACCACCTTTACTTCCCAGCCTCCTAATTAATGGCTCTCGGCCTGCGTTTTCTTTTTTTTTGCACTGCTTTCGCGTGGAGAGCGAGGAGGAGAAGCAGACATTTTCCACGGGGGGAGGCCCACCTTGTCTCTCTCTCTCTGCCTCACATGAAGGAAAGGTTCCGCGTTCAGCGCCGGAAGCACAGCTGCCACGGCAGCCGGCGGCGTTGGAAGCGGATCCCGGCAGTCCTGCGACAGCGGCCTTCCCCTCCATGAGAGCGACAGTAGAAATAAACAACGAAAACAGCCCCGTTGTGTTATTGCTCTGCCCTCTGGGGTGGCTGGGAATAAAGTAGAGGTTCCTAAAAGCCTGAGGGGGGCTTCCAACAGAGTGAGACAGAAGCGCTTCCCGGTTTTACGAAACTTCCCAAGCGGAGGTCGGCGACGTGCAATAACCCGGGGCGACATGAAGCCGGGTCTTTAATCCGTCAGTCTGCCCCAGCTTCTCCTGTGATACAGCAGCGGTCTCCTGTAGGGGGTGCCCTTTCATATGTCTTGGGAACAGAATTATGAAGTGAGATACAGAACAACGCCAACAAGGGGCACCCAAGCTTGAGCTTAGCAATGAACAGTGGACACTCGAATAACTATATTGTGGAAAAAGCACACCCCAGTGCAGCTCGAGTCCTATAATGCACTGCAGGTCCCGAAATAGGAAAACCCCGTGGGTGAGTGTGACATATTGAGTGGCGTGGTGGGTCAGATTCTGCCTGACAAGTGAACCCTAGCCAATCAATGCCATTGATTGGACGACCACGTGAAAATTTTATTGGCTGACTGTTCTATCCCTATCGGTGAGTACTTTCACCCAGTTGGATGTGAGATGGAAGTTTCTCAAGGGCACTACGGCAGAACTTGCCCTTGTTCCCAGCACTGCCCGCACCACCAGAGACACACAGCGATAACCGCTCCGAGTCCGACATCAACGTTTCCCCACAATAAGGGGGGTTGTTCAGATACTGACCTACCCTAAAGCGGAATGCAGTGAGCTGAGAGGTCTTACACAGTGTTTGGACGGAGACAGAACCTGAATGGGAGATACCGGGTGAAGTGCATTTCGTGTGAGAGGGGGGTGGCACCTTTTTCCCCCCCCCCCCCACTCCTATGCAGATTAACACCTTCTGGGATATGTTTGCTTGCCTTGGCTATTTTGATGTGCTTTGCAAAAAATATTCCTGCTTAGCATGAAAGCAAAGCATCTGATTGGCCATTCCCACCATGTTAACTTCTGCTCATTGTGACACTGAGCCACTGACACTGCCCTTCCAGAAATGGGCAGCAGGTGGCGTGGTTGTTAAGAACGAGTATTTGCAATCTGCATTTTGTTGGCTCGTGGCGATTTTGAATAAAAGCATTAGTTCTGCATCTAAATGCAAAAGAAACAGAAACATGCAACACTGAAGGTCAAAGGCTGCAGCAAATGATGCACATGTGACTGCGATTTCAAAAGACTCTGCTAGAAACCACATTCGAAGTGTCCCACCCAATAGCCCCCCCCCCCGACCCCAGGGAGGCTGCCGGAGCGACAGAGCTCACAATCCGGCTCCTGCTGACTGCCACTGACAGCTTTGTTCACATCTACCTAACCCCATCCCGATCAGAAATGGCGACAGGAAACATAGCTAGCAGAGCTGAACAAATTGGAAAGCTGGACACTCTGTGGGGTCTTCGTGACTGGATCACATCGTGGTGCCGTGAGACCTGCTGTGGGCGAGGGGACAGTGGAGCGTGAGATCACGGAATGATGGGCAGGGACGGGACGTGAGGTCTGAGAGGTGAAAGACAACATCAGGTGCCTGTGAAGGAGATGAATGGGCTAATGGCTGAACTCCACCCTGGGACACTCACACCCAACTATTCAACCGGCAGTTATTAAACACTTTTAATGTCCATAACCTTGGTCAAGGACACCACCAGTGCACTGATCCAACAACCCAGATTTAGGTTATAAAATAACCCATTAAACGCTGCTTTTTTCCATTTGAGACACTTTGGCCACGAGACAGATGGACTTGCAATTTAAAGTTTGCATCACTTACATTAAATTGCTTAGCTGACCTTTCTATCCAGGGCAACTTACACATTCACCTAATTATATAGATTACTGAATCTAATCTGGCTAAGTACCAGACTCAAGGGTACAACAGCAGGACTCACTTGGGACTGTAAAACTTACAGTTTGTGCAGTAAGTGGCTTAGCAAGTTAGGACTCGGAAGGTTGCTGACTCAAATCCTGTGGTTGGCTTTCACTGTTGGGCCCTTGAGCAAGGCCTCAACCCTGAGATGCTCCAGTGATGAGTTGACCCTGATTTTTCAAAACTGTCTGTCACTTTGAATAAAAATGTCTGCTAAATAAATTAAATATAATTCGGTAACAAACCTTACCCACTGCCTGCTGCTCTGTTTAAGGTGGCCCACATGCTGGCATTATATAGGTGTGCAGGCTGGTGGTTGTTGCCTTCTCCATTCCTCCTTAAGCCCAGTGAGCAGGAAGTTTGGGTTCGTAAGGCAGGTTCTGCCCCAGATCTGTCTCTTTGGACTTTACATCCCTATCTTGTAAGGGTTTCCTCTGGCAGTCCAAAAATATGCAGTTAGGTGAACCGGCTCTCTAAAATGCCGTAGCGTGTGGTTGTGTGTGTGTGTAAGCTCTGTGCACCATACTGTACTGCTGGGGATAGGCTCCGGGCGAGCCTGTGCTAGGTCAGAGGTTAGGACAGTGTTTCCCAATCCGGTCCTCGGGGAACCACAGCCGGTTGATGTTTTTGCTCCCTCCCAGCTCCCTGCTAGACAGTCTACGTGGACTGATTGGGAAACCCTGGGTTAGAAGATGCATGGGTGGACGGATGAACAGAATGAAGAGGAGTGGTATTACCGGGCTGACACAGGCTGAGTCTGACCACAAGAACAATATCAGAGCAAAATCATGCCAAAGTCTGTGACTCACACCAGGAGTGCTTGAATCTCCGGAATCAGATATTTACTCTGTTTTCATTACAAGTTCAAACGGTCCCCCATCTCTGAACATCATTCGAAGGACCTTGAGATGATCTTCATTTCCTCCTTCTCCCCCTTGACAGATGAGGTGACCATGGAGGAGGTGGGACAGGCCACTCAGCTACGGGCGGGGGAGCTCATCATTATCGTCGTGGTGCTGATCATGTGGGCAGGTAGGGACATCAATGGCTGCTTCCATCAGCAGAGCTGCAAGGGAGGGGTTCTGCCGTAGCCTTCACTCACGGGTGACCTCAAAGTCACACTAGGTATCATTACGTGCCAAATCTGGGTTTTAAAGCCTGCCACAATCTACAGGGCGCTACTAGACTCAAGGACCGTCGAGCAATCGCCGGCTAGTTTATGAATAATAAGTTTTACTTTATGGCCGCCGCGTGGCATACGCAGCCGTCGGTCAATAATCCGCTTGTCAACGGAGATCTCTCTCTCTCCAGGAGTGATCGCCCTTTTCTGCCGACAGTATGACATCATCAAAGACAACGAGCCCAACAACAACAAGGACAAGGCCAAGAACTCGTCTGAGTGCAGTACGCCGGAGCACCCGACGGGGGGGCTGCTACGGAGCAAGGTATAATCGGCCCCCACTCTCCCCCACGCCCCCCCCCGCGCCGAGTCCTGGGCAGGTGAATTATGAAACAATCTTTCTATACCCCTTCCCTCCATCCTATCGTTTCTCTGAAGTAGCAGTAATGGCATGTCATCTGCATGCCCCCTTCTCTTAAAGACACCCCCCCCCTCATCATCAACACACAGAACTCCCACAGACGGCCACAGCAGCTGCAGCAGATCCGGACATGAAAGAAACACTGTGGGAATATTCTGTGGTGTCCAGAAGCAGCCCCCCCCCCCCCCATCCCCTCACGTCATGTCCAGCTATAGCACTAGACTCCTTGGGGTCGCTGGATGAAAGCATATCTCTGGAATGTCCGAATCGAGCTCAGGGCGGCGGTGTTCCTGTCGCTTGTGTGTGTGTGTGTGTGTGAGTTTGTTGAGCAGTTCTTGACATGGGCTGCAATGAGGCTTTCTTAATCCCAGCTTGGCTGCTATTTGTTTGGTTGTCATTGTGATTGGCTGACAGTGTACTAGGTTGGCATGTGATTGGTTGACAGTGTGCTTGGTTGGCATGTGGTTGGCTGACAGTGTGCTGGCATGCGCTTTGGAAAAAGCTTGGTTGACTTGCGACGTTGTGCGGTTATAAAATCAGCCTTGCCTGAAGAAACTAAAAACCAACAGAAAGACAAATCCACTCCCTAACCTAGAGGCAGGAGCAGAACAATAATATCTCCACGAAAGAGCGTCAATTAAGTTGTTTCCGTCGTCATTGACAAGAACATTTTTTCTGGGATACTTATACATTTTTGGGGCCAAAAGTCTTTGCATGACCCTCAACAGTGTTTCTCACAAAAGTAACCCATTGCAGAGAGAGGTGGAAAGGTCAGGTCCAGAAAGTACAAATGCAGACTAATGTTTTGTTTCAACCAACCAGGAGAGTACTCTGTGACTGAGACTCAACTGGTTGGTTGAAACAAAACCTTGGTCTGGATTTGTACTTCTGTCAATGCCCAAGCCCATCATGGATGCGTGAGCACACTGCCCTCGTGTGACAGACCTGTGGAATTTAACTGACTTTCAGGTGCCATTTCTACAGAGGACTCAGGAACCCTTTGGTCCAGGTTCATTTGGCCCCACAGTTCAATGTCATTGATCAGGGTGGCCTGTGTGGGGCCTTCTTGGGGCCTCCGTGGGCAGATGCCAAGCTCGGCCTCGTGCCAAAACAGCAGGGGGGGGGGGCACCCAGTGTTCCAGTCATCCTGCCCAACTGCTCCTGCGGCTGCCAGGAGTACAGAGCTCATAAAAAATTCATACATACAAAAGGCTACAAATCCACAAAGCCTCCAATCCCTGCAATAAATGTTAAATGTGAAGATAGTGATTTAAACAGCAGGGGATGCTGACACATTAATGGAGTAATACTTAATTTAGAACACTTTGTTTCCGTCATATAAACCTTCCCCCACAGCCTCTTCCTGTTGGTTCAGTCGAGCTTTTTGCTCTACTTGATGAGGAGAAGATGAACATTATATGTAATAATTTCGTTTGTCTCCTCCTTTTTATAGTTCCCCAAAAACAAGCGGAAGCCATCAGTGAACATCATTGAGGTTTGACTGGTCATCTTCATGCTAAAGACTTTATAAAAAAAAAAAAAAAAAAAAAAAAAACAATAAATCCATCAAAGAACATTAACCGGTGGGCAAAGTGCCCCTGTGCATGCTGGGAAGAGCCGCAGGATTGGAGCGTCGTCAGCTCATTCCCCCGCATGGTAGACATGACTCTGGCCGTGGGGGCTCCGTGCCAAAGGTTGCAGGGGCTCCAGCTTTTAAAGAACAACTAGTAGGGATGGTCCTTTACCCAGAGTCCACCTCCACAGTCCAGCACCACAGCACAGAGCTGAATCTGCTAGCATGCAGGAAGAAGGCACCAGCTTGGGCTGATGGTGGTGTGGCCTTTCTTTGTTGCCTGTTATTCCACAGCGGATCAGTCTATGGGGTTGGGTTGCACCAGCTCCACAACTTACTGTCAATCCGTCCCCAACAATCTCTTCAGCGCAGGGTTTGTCCAACTTGCTCCTTCTCAGGGCATCTGTAGTGTTTGTCCGGAGAACTCGGAGGTGTCCTGGTCAGAGAGATCCCAGCTCATCCTCTTCCCCAAATGAGCGTGTGTGTGTGTGTGTGTGTGTGTGTGCATGTTACAGTCCTCTGTCTGACGCTATATCCCGCTATATCTTTCGCCAGAGGCTTATGGCGGCGTGATATTTCTCACGTAGAGATGAGTCTCATAAGCACATAATTGCACAGTACTCGCAACGTCTGTCCGTTAATCCTGGTTATTCCTGTCATGTGTATCCTCTTACCGTTGATTACAATAATTATTGCTGACAAAGATAACTGTTCCATGCTGGGATGCGTTTTCGAACCATTTATGTATTTAAAGGTGCCTTTCCTCCAGGCATCATCTTTCTGTCTGTTTTTTTTTTTCCCTCTACTGAAGTCTGACAAACCCAGTCGTGTCAGTGTTGCAGGCCCAGCAGCCACAGCGGACTGTCTTTCAGGGAGCTGGAGGTCAGTTATTTGCTTACATTTACAGCGAGATTGAACCGGAAAAAAAAACACCAACAAAACAAGAGTACAGGCGCTATTGAGGAAAAGGACTTTTTTGTACCAACTCTGTAGGGGAGAGACATGCCTGCAGTCATCATCAGGCGGGACTGAATATCTCCGAGCAATAACTTACAGCGGAGAAGAGCGGGTTTTCGACGCTTGTGACCTGGCCCCGCCCATATCCACAAGGGGCGGGGCATGTGTGGTGGACAGCCCCCACCACCATCCTGCATCCAGTCTCTGGCCGTTCTGCTCTCCCAGCACACACTGGAGTACCCAGCCATTAGGGAGAAGCGCCAACCAGACAGACAAAATTTGTAAAAATGTGTTTTTTTTTTATCACCTGCTTTTCATCTTTTTGTACTTTTCTCTGAGATGCCCCTAAGTGTCCGGCTGCTACCGTCCACCCTGCCGGATGTGGGGCATAAGCTGGGTTGTAGCATGTCCGTGAAAACATGCAGTATGTTTTGTATATTTTCCCAGCTTCGTGCAGTAAAAAGCCCAGGTGCAAAGGCTTATGGGGCAACTCCGTCGTCAGTGGCGATGCTGCCCCCTGTAGGGCCGCAGCTGTGCGGACGGGTCGACCCCCTGCAAACACAGCACCACTGTTATTCATCCCTGCAGAGCCGCGGTCTGCTCACCGCCGCTGCCGCTAAAGCTAATGTCACTTAAAAAAATATATATACAAAGCCATTCTATGCTGGGGAAAAAAGCTGAAAGCTCACTAAGGTAAGAACACAGGTCTGGCAGGGCAGGCTCCACGAAGCTGAACCAGCCTCGTGATTGGTCACAGCACAGTGCCCCTGTCCCCATCCTGAAGGATTCTGGGTAGTATCGCTGCTGGGTTCCAACACGCCGTCATCAGGTTGGCTGGTGACAGACGGCTCCCCTGGGCTTCACACCGCCACTCTCCAGCCAACCCCGTCCACATCTGCAGCTACGCCCACCCAGCACTCAGCCAAGATGGAGTATTTCTGTTTTTAACGGCTGATAATTAACCTTGGCTGAGCAGGGAGGAGGCAGTCGGTGACATGAGAAATAGGCAATATTAATATTCCGGTCCTGGCAGCTTATATAAGCAAAGTGGAAGGTGGCGGGGGGGGTGCATGGTTCCGGAAATGAATAATGACTGTCTGCTGCTAGGAGTTACCCCCCCACTCTGCATCCCCTCAAGCCCAATGCTTATCTGTCATGTAAATGACGAACGCTTTAAAGATCTTTGGACCTATGAAGGAGTATGACTTATCCGGGTGGTGTCTGCAGGACGCTAATGCGAAGAGACAGTGCCAGACATTGGCATTTGACCAAATGGTGGCGAGGAAGGGCTCTGGTGTTATACCCCTGAGCGGGGAGCTTAAAATTAGTGTCTACAGTCTGTCAAGCAGCTGAAGTATAACGCATCTTGTCACCTCAGATTTATTATTCTGCTAAGCAGCTAAAACAATTTAAATATAACCCTACAAACTCAATAGCCCCCATCTTTCAGCTTAAATGTAACTGATGAAAAATAATCATGATCCAGTTCAGTATATCCTCTGATTACTGTCATATTTTCTGTCATTTATTTCCTTGGCTTTGCATACATACTGATGTCTTATGTCCTTAAGTGGGTGCAGCAGATTTCACAAAGTAGTTATTTCACCTTATTTCAATATGTGTTAGTGGAGACCACCAAATCAGCTGGCAGCATGTGGACATGGGATTTGTAGTCTTTTACATTTTCTGCACCAATCCCCCCACCCACCCCTCTCCTGTCCTCATGCTCATCAACAGCATTCCAGATGCACCTTACCAATGCCTGTTTCTCAGACCACTGGTCCGAGACCAATATAACCTGCCCCCCCCCCCATCACTTTTGCTCACTACTGATGTGCGTTTTAAATCGACAGCATCTCAGCCACCATGTTAAAAGGTCCATAATCCCCCCTGGGGACGACTTTGGTGACATATTAATCTGCAAGTGGAACAAGACATGCTTCATTGCAGGCGGGAGACACCGACGGGAAGCTGAGAATCCAGCGTCCTGATTTCCGTGCCCGTTGTGAGGGTCGACGGTTACCATGGCGAGGGACAGGAGAACAAAGAGACCGTGGGCAGCGAAGTGCTGACAGGGAACCGTCCCCTCAAGATCGCCGAACTCTCATTTTGCTTTGGATCAAAGCAGCGAATGCACTCACAGACCTGGACTAGCATCCCAACAGCGGAAGTTTCGACGTTAGTTGCTCACAATCACATGGTCTCAGACTCCACAGAAAACTGTGTACCTCTTAAATGGTCAGACGATAACACAACCAGAAACGAGACTGTTTCCAAAGACACGTGGATGTGTGTCTGTGTGTGTGTGTGTGTGTGTGGGGGGGGTGTTTTGTGTAAAGTATACAATTTATATTTAACGTACGGAATTCATATTAACTGCTGAAAGAGGGCCGGCATGGTTCTGTATAAATAAGGCCATGTGGTATCTCTTTAAAGAACTGCGTATATGCTTAATCATGTATTTAACTTCAATTTAATAAAGTTATCCGATATTTTCAATGCCAATCGCATTTGATTTCTAATTTGTGCAATAAGAAAGTAAATCGCCTAGTTTCAATAATCACCAGGTAGGTGATTAAAGTCGACAGTAGAAAGTTCTGACTTGATGGTGAAGTCGACAGGAGAGGAACAAGATTCACGATACTGAGGAAAGCTTATTCTCAGCCCTGGTGTCGTTTCAGAATGGTACGGAATGAAAAGAGACAAAGTTTTGTCACATACACAGTTATACTAAGTACAATGCGCAGTAAAATGCATGCTTGTCCAGGGGCTTGTATCACAAAGCTGGATTCTTGGGTTAGCAAGAACTTGTCTGATTTAACGTGGTTTCGACTAAATGTAAGGCAGTGAAGATAAAGTCCAATTAAGCAGCGGTACCTTAAATCCGACAAGCCATCCAGCTAAGCAGGAAATCTTGCATTGTTATTCAAACCCGAGGACTGTGAAACAGGGGACATACGTCTGACAGACTTAAGTCTAACAGGCAGATAAGTATAGAGACAACGAATAATCAAGAAATATCCAGAGTGTGCAGCTGAAGAGAATTGGATCCAACAAAGAACTTTAATTTAATTTCATTTCATTAAATTAAATTGACAGTCTCATGTAAAAACAAAAAATGGACTGAGTTTGGGAAATTTGCTCTTCAATTGGCAGTGAAGTGACAGAAAGAGCTAAAGAATAAAGTATTTACATATTGCATCTGCTAAATAACTACACAACATATGTAAACTGTACGTGTATAGGTTGAGGAGGCTATTCGATCATTGGTTGCGCAGGTTCTAGACCCTGTCCTCATTAAGTATCCGAGCTGCCTAGTAAATCACAGGTTTCGGGATCGACGAGGTCACGGCAGGCACCTGCATCTCTGAACGGGACCCCAGTACTGGAAGAGCTGCCCTTGACACGCTGTGGGTGGAAATCTGTCACCGTCGGCTAGATGCGGCCGTTCATTTTCGCGGGGAGCAGTGGGTCTGCGTGAGTTCATCTGTTCAGCGTTCCTTTGGCAGCTCGGAAAAGCGTCCCTGACGTGCGTGTCATTCCTTTCGAGGGGGCCGAACAAAAGATCAGTGTTTTTTTCTCTCGATGGATGGTACGGCACGGAGCGGGGACCAGATACTGCGTACTATGTGCAGGTTTGGCTGTCTGCTGTTTGGCTACGGAAGCGACATCAGATGTGGTAATTCAAGGACGGACGGGTTTCTGAGAGCTACAGTCTGCCTCTGAAAGCGAGGTAAACAAGAGTGAGTCAGTCACCCTGGAGACTACAGAAACACGTTCGGGAGTCTGACACGATTCCCACAAACACTGGTACCCATTAAACTCGGCCTGCTAAAGTTCACAGCCATCAATCGAATGGAAGTCATACCTTTAGGGTAGCGCATATTGCAGCTATTAGGGGACAGAGAAGGTGGGTTCTGGAATGTTCCAAACGGCACATCTGTTATATTCATTAGCTACTTTGCATCTTTTGTAAATGTCAAGCAATAGAAACGTGCAATATACAGTAAATGAGGAGATGATGCAAGTGTGATTATATTGACAGAAGGTAAAATTTGCAGTCTGTCATCACGAACGGACAGAGCACATTATAGCATGTTGTAAGCTACTCCTGAAATCAGTTGATGGGTTGCATTTCATTATGCCATACCGTGGTCTGAACTCCGTCTCCCGATTTATGACGTCATTTTTTGGGAGAATCAACAAATGTCACCTGACCACCAGGGGAGGTTCTCCTCAGGGCATCAGTGGCCACAGGAGCATCAGGAGCAGAACCAACCAGAACCCCTACATCTCCAAAATAACACTGAGTGAAGCAAGGCCAGTCTTACTTATGGAAAATCCGTAAGGCTCTGCAAGACGCTAATATCAGTGACACCGACACTGCTAACACGACACCTACCGTAAACCAAGAGAAGCCATGAAGCTATGCTAAAATAACAACAGGCTGCAGGGGGCGTCGTCGTCCATACGTGGTGCCAAGGCTGAAGCCAGGGGCCTGTTATTCATTTCACTGTCACCCAGACAGGTGTCAGCGCTGTGCTGACAGGCCGCCATTCCCCTGGGTTGCCCATAACTCGGCGCTCCTCATCGGTCGGGACACGTACCTCCTGCTGCCAAACTCACGGCCCCCGCGACCAGCTTCAGGCGCAGAGATGGAAAGTCACTCTCCCTCCAGGACGACGCAGTGGAGAATCGCTTCTTGAAGGTGCTATGGGGAGCATTCAGCAGGCGGTTGGTGCTATCAGGGAGAAACGCCTTTGCTGTTCACCCTCGAATCCTCGCGCCGTGTCATTGGGCTTTAAATGTCAGACGCACAGAAGACTTACCCAGTCAAAGGCCTTACACAGCTTCATAACACATCCTTAAACCCTCGACGACGGGCCGATCATGTTCATAATCAGAAAATCGCAATCGTAACGGGGTCCAGTACGGACGCTTTGCAATGCATCAGCAAATACAAACGAGAATGTGTTTTTAAAGAGGATGGCTTTATTATGATGGGATGTATAAGCGTTAAGGTTTCAGCCCGGGTGAATCTGGAAACAGCGGGGTCAGCTTAGACCCAGTTCTTGATAACGATAACCATCCTAAAGCCAATGCTATCATTTATTGTGTTATAACATTTATTGAAGCCTCAGTAGCACAAAGGAACAACCATTGACTTGCAAAGGGCATCTAACCTAGATTTACCTGGTTAATCTAACAACATATACAATTAAGCCACTGGTACACCGACTCATGCGTTTTTTTGTTTTGTTTTTTTTTTAACTTTCTGTAGGGAATATTAAGGGAAGACATTAAAGCAGTGTGATGAAAAAAGCTATTACGAGAAGGGAATGTAGGGGTGAATATTAAGCAAAATTATTCTTATATAACAACCATTTACGGGATGAATTATCCTCTCGCCTTTCCTGCACCAGACCTGGGTATTTCACAGGCTTAAGGAAGGGCATCGGTCTCTGCTCTCAGAATGATTTAACCCCCAGGAAACAGTCTAGCATTTTGGGAGAGGTAACCACAAAAAGTACGTCCCAGTACCAGACTTTCAGCGTTTCATTGGATGGATGGATGGATGGATGGATGGATTTTCTTGAGAAAACTGGCGTTTGCGGCAAATTGTGAGGGTGACTAGAAGTAAAGTGCTGTGCTATTATGGGGTGGAGGGTCTCTCCTTGGCGACAGCGGCGTGACGAGTCAGTGGAGCGACAACGAGCCGATCACTGGCGGCATTCTGTCTACTACATTTACAAAAACAAGCTGTACTTCTCAGCCGCTGGAAAGACCTGATGAAGATGGGGGTGGTGAGCAGTACGAAAGTTCAGGTCTAGAAACTAAAAATACAGACCAAGATTTTGTTTCAGCCACCCAGCGGCGTACTCTGCGACTGAGTATTTATACTCAACTGGGCGGTTGAAACAAACTAGGTCTGGATATTTATTTTCTGGAGCTGAACTATCCACCGCTGGTTGTGGGTGGGTCAGTGGGTTAGGATGCGATGCCTGTTCAAGTCCCAAGGATGGCAGGGATTTCATGGTTAGACCCTCGAGGAAGACCCTTAAAACCCCAAATGCTCCAGGGACTAACGGACCCCGATTTTTGAAAAAAGACGTTGCTTTGGATAAAAGTATCTGTATGAAACACTAAGGTGGGAAATGGAGGTCTGCGCCTCCCGCCCTGCAGGAGTTCATAAACGGTTTCCAGCAAACATTAAAAGCACTTTAGGTTTATATCACACCAATTTATTTTCTAATGAAACTCAAGGGGAAAGTGTATTGTTATCAGGCACTAACAGAAGATCAGGATCACATTACGGGTAGGCATGGAGAAGTGGTGACCAAGATTGGGCTGAGGCCCTCCCCCAAGGACACCGCGAGACAGAGGCACCCCAGGGAAGCTGGGAATACAGACAGAGACAAATTCATTTCTACTTAACACCACAGGATGAGAGATTTGTTTAAATAAAATTTGTAAACTCCTTCCAGGTTTTACTAAAATTACAGAACCAGAGACACTACCTGGGGGGAGGGGCAGGTCCATATGAAAAGATATAAAATGTGTGTGTGTGTGTGTGTGTGTGTGTGTGTGTGTGTGAGAGAGATTTTTTATACTATATATTTTTTCATTTTCATGTTCACATGCCTTACATCTGATATCCATAACGCTCTAGTGATATTTAACCCAAGAAAGCTGATGGGGGGGGGGCACTAATTGATAGTATGAAGAATCATACTCACCCCTTTGGTATTTCTATGGTATAAATATCACAGGCAGACACTGAAACCTTTACGGAGAGGTCTCTCCAATGGAGTGAATGTCAAGTACAAGGTTAGGTTAAATAATTTTATTTACTCACCTATACAAGGGAAAGGATAATGCTGTAATAAGCAGGTACGTCCAACATCACAGCAACAATATGGCGTGACGAATGCGTGCAATTACTGCCCCCTGGAGGGTGAAACATGTATTGCTCAAATTGACTCCGTAGTGTGGATTGCCGATATCTAACTAAACGATCCCCCAGTGGGCTGAACGGAGCCGAGATAAGGGTCTGTTGAGAGACAAATGACTCCGAACCAGACAGACAATCATCTTAATAGTCGTTTATTACATTTTACAGGAATACGTGGTCCATGAAGCATTAACAAATTGACGTAGCGCCGGCAAATAAATAAAACCAACCATTCATGAGACGTCACTCATTGTAAAAAGACCTAAAGCAAGAACAGATAAACGGTGGTGAAAGCCAAAAGGCACGCTTCACAGGAACATCCCCATAGCAGATCATACAAAGCGCTTCAGAACTAAGGAGGAGGGGTAGTGCCCGGTCCAGCGAATAAAACGCGCGTCTGCCAACATGGGGCTCTGTAGTAGCAAAAGCGGCTGACCGACTCCACCTAGTGGCAGCTCGAAAGAAAGGCTGCAGTCTTGGTATCTTACACGTACGCCGCGCATGCCAACAAGGACACCCAAATAACCCGAAACACCAGCCCGGTAACCACAATCCCCCCCCCAGCAAAAAGACCAGCAAATCTGCCCGCAACGGGGGGCTGAATTTCAACAAAAGGGGTCAGCAGAAACACTTAATCCTCTCCCTTTGACCACAGCTGCAGGAATGTCTGCTTCACAGAAGCTGGACTGGAACGCGACCCCGCAGAACGGCTTGGCCGTCTGGGTTTGTCCTCATGCACCAGGAGGAGACACGGCGACTCCAGACCCCTAAGATACCCAAGCTCAGAGATCAGTCACGACATCCTTCAAAAAGCTAAATCTTAAATTCCACCTGTTTCAGCTTTAGATCCCTCCTGAATGGAGTTTCATCCTCATGCAGAGATAAGAGCATAATCATCCTCCTCAAACTTTCACCGATTGCTTTCACTTGAGTGTGCACACATACATTTATATATTATTATATATATATATATATATATATATATATATATATATATAAAAAAACATCATGATACATGGTATAATTTTTTTTAACATAATAGTGCAAACTGCCACTTTGGCTGTGCGTGTCACCTAGAGGGGAAAGTGGGTAATGCATCGCTAAGACACGTTTAAGGCGGCGTAATACTCTATTACTGTTTTGGCGGCCGAGCTGTGACACCGGCCTGGCATCCAGTCACCCAGCTAAAGCCCACACGCGTTCAGCGGAGGGGGCCCTCCAGGGATGACCGGCCAGCCGCCCCCACGCGGCACGGCGTCACAACCCGAACAGGTCGTTCCCGTCACTCGCATCCCAGCCAGAGGGGGACCACTGCAGCGTGTCGGCATGGAGATCGTCAGAGATCACCCCGATGTCCAGGACCTGGGGGTTCGTGCGAGACTCGGCGAGTCTTGCAGGGGGGGGAGGAATTTACAGAGCATTAGAGCCGTGATAAATGAGCGGAAAATACATATAACCATGCAGGGATATTTCAACAGCACGCCGAGCATGACTTCAGCACAAAGCAAACACTCAGGGCATTTCGTTGCCAAGGCGCAATGGGGGGAAAGAAAAATACCATTTTACAGCAGCGACTGGGAGCAATTGCCCAACTGGGGACTCCACTTAAATGCCAGTAATACGTTACAGTGTTACATTGTTTTATTTGTGCTTCAAGTGCCGGCAACATTAAAACTGAAGAGAAAAACCAGAGATGATCGTGTGGAACGACGACGGTGATTATGAAGAATGCTGTTCGTATTTGACAATGTTAGTCACATTAAGCTGTTCGGCAGGAACATGCCAGATCACACTCATCTGGCACCAGAATTCAGGAGACGAGACAGCTTGCTTTCAAAGTCGAAGCTGCTAGTGTAGGTTAACCAAAGAGGAGCACTGGTCACCCCAGTGCTAGGCTTACTACCAGGTTCTGAATAAAATGGAATCATGAAATTAAGGCAGCATGGACAAACTGGTGCAAAGACCACCCCATAATCTAATGGTAGGTCTGCATCAAACCCTGTGCAATCTGAGAGAGGCACCACATTGATGGGGGGGGGGGGCAGGATTCCAGATCTCTGAAAGAAGGATAGATGGATGGACGGATGGATGGAACACAAGCATCACAGAGGGAGGAAGACAAAATGAAGTCCATGTACCAAACCAGCACACAGTTACCTGTTAGCGAACCATAGATATGCCAACTTGGGCTGGGAATGAATAGAAAGAGAAACATCAGAAGACTGTTCCGCACATCACAAAGATGTTCTAGACATTGGCAGCGGGACCAGAAGCAGACAGCTAGGCCCGGGGAACACAGCCCCCCCCACATGTCCTCCTGGAATAACGAAGACCATCAAAGCAAAATGAGTGATGACTGCCTTCGCACGTTTAGCCCAGCTAAGGATGGGGAAATATGAAAAACAAACCCATTCTGATCATGTGACAAGCAGGGAAGTGCTAATGTTCCTAAGCTGGGGGGGGGGGGGACCCAACCATGCTCAGCATGAGCTGCCATTAGAAAGGACAGATCATTTATCCAGCGGGCGGCAGGCAGACTGAATTCATCATCATCTTCTCCAGAAATGGACCCATAATGACAACAGGCAGGGTGAGTCAGCGAGTCCCAGACACCCCCAGCTAACATCCAGCACACAAGACGGCCGTGATCCTTTACCAGGCAGCACAGAAACAGGTATATATAGTGCATTTAAACATCAACACGCCCCCTAGTGGATGGGACCTTCCTCTACAAAACTGGTTCTATCAAATCACTCTCAGCACTGAAATCGAATAAAACCAGTAATCTATGTACTGCATTCCAGCTCATTCAATTCCATCAGCTATTTTTTAAACTTAACTTATATCCATCTCTCACTGTCTTACATATTTATATTCTATTACAGATTGCACTGCGAACAAAGATTGAAATTCTCAGTTTATGACCCGTGCATCGTATAGCTGAAGATGAGAAAGACACTTTGACTTTGAAAGATACTTAGATGAGAAGTTGGATAATGCTTCTGCCCATTTCCCGTAGGAACACCGGGAGACCAGCAGGTGTCGGCAACTGGCGACTCAGGCGGCTGGGAGAAGCGTTTCAGAAAAGCAGCAAACAAGCCATGAAAACCAGCATGGAGGAGGCCCCCCCTCACCTCGAGAAGGCTTCATCGAGGCCGTCGTCGAGCTCCTGCGAGTGGAAGGTGAAGATTTGGTTAAGTGAGAGAACACGCATGTATATTTTAACACACACACACCCAAAAAATGACCTAAACATCTGGCAGACAGTTTACCACAGAAGGATTATGTTAAAATATTTAGGGAATGAACGTGTATTGGATGTGTATACGGACAGCAGACGATGTTTTAAATTAAACTGAAATGGACTCCAGCTTTGGGGGTAGGGAGGCATGAGGGAGTGTATGAATGAGGGCTTTGCTTTGCAAGAGCCACACGGTCAGGAATCTCACTCACTGGAGGTGGCAGATCAGACACTGCACCCAGGACAGAGGATTTACAGTGAGGTGGAAGCAGCACATGGCAGCTAGCAGGAGTCAGGCCACAGTCGCCTGAAGCAGGTGGGAGGCAGGTTCCTCTGGGCGGGATCAGGACACTCACCCACAGCGTGTTGTTGTTCTCCATGTCTGTGCCGCGCACCGCGAAGGGGTGGGCAGAGTCGGGGGCCGTGGCCGGCAGGCCGGCCGGGGGGGTCTCATCCAGATCCAGCAGGGTTCCAGTTCCAGTGCCCCCCTCTGCCAGGGGGTAAGTCTAATGTCGATACACAATATCGAAGCAAAGCCAAATCCATTCCGGAACAATCTATTCTATACCCAGGAAAGGGTTCAGGAACACAGCATATGGGTGATTGGGTCGAACCCCAGCACCCCTCCCCCAAGCTTTTAATTTAAAGCAGTGTAGCCTCCCCCCCCCTTAAGCTGGCACACAAAAGCCATTTATCTACAGGTTTTTTTTTTTCCCCCCTTTTCTTAACATACCTGACAGCTACACACAAAACCAAGACAAGCTACGAAACAATGATGTTACGCTGTTAGCGATGACAGACACTGCCTGCATTAACCAGCAGACGGCGGACTGAGGATAGAGAGGCAAGAGAGGGCAGATCCTTCAGTGGTCATATTATTTTGTATTACATCTCGCCTTCATGTAGATGGAACAACCAGTACGTAGAGATGCACGCTATATGGGTTAATATACGGATATTTCTGGCTGATTTTCCATAGTGGAGGATTCTGTCAGCTCATTCACTACTGTTTATATAATTCATTAAGTCTGGCCGCAGATCCATCTTTTGTTTTCAAACTGAAAATTTAAAAAAAGGCGTAATGTAATTCCACTAATCTGCAAATCTACACTGGCAAGTTTTGCTTTTTCTGAATAAAAAAAAAAAAATAAAAAAATCCCTCATCCTTGTGCAAGTTTTCCTTACTGTGATGTAATGAAACTTACACTGCTATATTTAAGTTTGAAAATTTAAGTTATTTTCCCCCCCACTGGCCGCTTTAGCTCACGTGATGTACAGCTATCTTCTCCAAGTTGAAATCGGCTGAACTTCAAGTGCAGAGTCAAAATGAGAAAATTGGACTCGTCGCTCAAGACGGCATGACGCAAGGTTGCGAGTCAATGCTGAGCTCCTCACACGACAGCGAACGTCCAACGCTTACATGAAACCCCCCGGGGTGGGTTATGGAGGAGAGTGGAATCTACATGTGGAACGTTATGAGGTCCATCCTGTCGCACTTCAGCCCACACGTCTCTAGGGGGCATCTGTGTGCTCACACTCACCTCTCCCCTTCAGGCTGAGCAGGTTGAGGGACCATTCCGACTGGGAGCTGCTGGCTGCCTCGCCGTCAGAGCCAGACGCTGCCCGCTTCCCATTCTCTGTGTGCGACAGATCAGCTGTGAGACACGACTGCGCAGCATCTGCTGACAGACGTCAGGCGCCTCTGAGCAGCACAAACATGCCGCTGCTGCAGACCCAGCTGCATAAAGCCGACGTCCTCATAATAAATATTTATCGCAGCATTTGAGCGGGTACCACTGTTCATTACACAGATTCCACCATTTTGGACAATGGAACAAGTAGGAAAAGCTATTAGTAAAATTTGATGCTTGTATCAACAACTAAATACCACAGAAAGCGCTCAAAACAGAGCCCAACGTAGCGCTAGGAGAGAGGTGAGATTTCTCCGAGAAACATCGAGTGACACGAGAAAGAGAACCTGTGGTTCTGACAGTGCAGAGCATGTCACCCATCATATCGATGATCAGAAATCTGAAACAGGCGAAGGGGTTCTCGCTCCTTCAAACTGAAGTATTCCGAGCCCGTTACCCAGGCAACAGCATTTCTCATTTCCACGGCAACCAAGCACACCTTCTTTCGCGACCTGCCAGAACTCGAAGGCTACTCTGAAGGCTTGTGCCACCGTCAGCGTCACAGCCTGGGCCTGAAATGAAGATGGAGAATTTGACTCAGGGGGGGTGGGGGGGGGAGACCAGAAGCAAGCATTTCAATGGGTTTGATGAACTACCACCTACTACAAGTCTGAAATTCAAAATCCCTAAAAATCAACAACATCTTAGACATTTTGGATTGAACCAATTTTTGACAGGCCCACTGCCCCCCCCCTCCCTCCAACAGCATTGTCATGTTGCCATGGCGACACTCACCACCTTCCTCTTGGGACAGAGGTATGCATGACATGCCAGTGTTTCATTCTGCTGGCTCTGGGCGATGTAAGTGAAGACACGGTCGTGGTTCTTGTCCGCAGCGCAGTACGATATCCTGTCAGAGATGGGGGCGGAGCTTTTAAACAGTCCCTGAACACACACCCCCCCCTCCCTCCCATCACCCCAAACTGCTACGTCACTCCCCCAGAACACCCCTTCACCCTCAGAGCGGAGAGCGGCCCAAAATCAAGCAAATATCCTTAATGATGTATTCATTCAGATTTCACTTCTATAAATTTGATGGACCAAACCACCTGTAGGTTCCCATAACTTTAATGGCTGACATTCAAAAGAAGACAATTTAGGCTACAGGGAATTCCACAACGGCAGCAAATCCATATCATTTGTTCATTCAAGAGCACAGGGAGGGGTCAATCTGATTTAAAAAGGAACTCCAAGGATGAAAAGACAAAATAATGTCAATGTTACTGCTCTTAAGCAGTCAGAATGTCACAAGTATTTACAAACCATTCCGAACAACGCCAGTACTGCAGGGAAACACTTGTGTCCCCATGACCTCATCCAGGCAAAGAGCAGCTCCAGCCCAAATGGAGACAGAACCAAAGCAGCGCCGGACGGCCGGGTAGAACGCGGCCAAACCTGCCGACTAAACCACAGGACGCATTTTAGGGGCGACCAAATTTGAGGTCGATCGTAGACAGAGTCTCTGCTCACTTTGACTAGATTCGGGAACTACTTCTGCACCAGTAGCCGGGTTGATTTTTAACCCAATAAGCAGGAAGCATCAGGTCAAGCTGGTAAGCAAGAGGTCGTGTAGATCACGACCCTCTCCCAACTGCCTCGATATATTTCACATTTCAGTTGCCCCAGGCAACTGAAAAACCACCTTTACATCAAGTATGCCAAACGGAGACCATTTACCACAGCTTAACGCATGGATTGTGAAACCATCATGTCTGTAAACTCACAGCAGCTGTCGGTTAATGTTAGAATGCTAGCTGCTAACACAAGAACAGACCTTCATTTAGGAGCCTAAAATGTGATTGTAAGTCATACCACACTAACCAGTCTAACAAAAAAAATTAAATCCTGGGAAACTTTGCCAGGGGAACCATAACCCTATCGGGAATATTTGAATTATATTTCAAAGTACTGGACTCAGATTTAAAAATCACTCGTGAAGACATGAATACAAAATCAGACCAAGGTTGGGGAGAAAGTCATTTAAAATGTATTAAATGTTGAGCTAAAACAATGAATCTTTCACACAATTTAACCACTGCTGTGTTAGAAGCCAAAATTAGACCTTGAGTTCTAGTCAGTAATTGCTTTGGCTAAACATGATAATTCCAGTGACCCAGGATAAGCATTTGAAAAACAGATGGATGTTAGGGAGTCTGTACTGAAAGCTATGAAGGTTACAGACTCAGATTGAGGTCACTGTCACCACAGCAAGACTGATGTACGCCAAGAGCCTCAGACAAGGAGACTAATACAGTCACAATATTAAAACAAGCCGACTACGTGAAAAGCATAGATGACCATAGAGCAAATACAGAGGGAAGGACAGGGGTAGGAAACCCTGATCCTGCAGTGCCGGAATCCAGCAGGTTTTCCATCCTACCTGCTCTCTGATGAACCACACCTGATCTCAGGCAGATAGTAACTCATCAGGTAGGATAGAACACGTGCTGATACCGGCACTGCAGGAGGTGATGAATGACCTTCAAACCAGTCTGCACCCTAAACAGGCTACATTAGCAACAAAGCTAATGCATAGCAGCTTTCAGATTGAGGGTCTCACCTGTATATGGAGATATTCTCAATCAGCTGGTTGGACAAGCTGTCATACAGGACAATTCCACGAGGGGAAATATTTAATGTCACCTTCTGGAGCTTCTTTCCACTGGCTTTAGCCTGATGAAAAAGGGTTTAAAAAGAAAAGTGCTTCAAATGCTCACAGAAAAGCAAACCAATTCTGCACACCACAATGCAGCCATTCACTGCAGTCACGTCTTAAAGACGCATTAAGGAATACTTCTGAAACCCCAGCAAAAGCTCGGTATCTAAAAAAAGGCTGCGGAGTTCAAGAAATGAAACCCTCATGCGACTTCCCGCGGCAGGCCGGGGTGGCGGTGCGGCAGGCCGGGGTGGCGGTGCGGCAGGCCGGGGTGGCGGTGCGGCAGGCCGCGGTTCAAACGTTAGCGCTCGTGTTACGGCTGCCAGCTGGCGCGGGGAGGAAGCCAACAAGCTAATTACCGCCGCGCTCCGCGAATGAGAAAGCAACAATGACTTTGGCTACACAGAATAAATCATTCAGGTTCAATGGATTTCAAAGCAGTAGGAGTGTACGGTTCTGGGGTCTCGCGATCAGACTGACATACCAAAGCTGGATGAGCAGGAACTTGGAGCGGGGGGGGGGGGGACGGCATCAGTACACCTGAATCACCCATGTATGACACATGAGACAAAGGACCAGGGAACTCATGGATTCATTCCGTCAGTCATGCTTGAAGGGACATATTAACTCCCCCATTTGCGCACAGCCAACACACCCTCTGTAAATCTGACAAGCAGGACCTCCCTCCCCAATAAACATGTTCCCTGCCCAAATCCCATGGTTATATTTCCCACCCCACCCAATCCCCATTTCCCATGGCTGAGGGAGGGGGGGGGGTCATCACCTCTCAAAATACCATACCAGCTGTTTATAAAAGCCAACAAGACAGGCTAACATTACATGAGGGGGCCCAGTCATGGACCATCGCACTCTCCGAGAGTGAGAAAGAGTGAGACAGAGACTCACAGTGGCCATGATCCTTTTCACCGCCATGGCCGACAGCTCCTCCCCCTTCGCCTCTTCCACGAGCGTCATGCCCAAGTACTTCAGGCGAAAGACCATGCCTTCCAGGAGGGTCTCCCGTGTGTCCGTCCAGTTCTCCGGAAGCTCTGCGGAGAAAGGACACCTCAGCCGACGCGTCAGAGAGTCGGCCAGTTTGGATCCGTCCCAGACACCAGGCCCCAGCTGTCCCCTTCCTGTGACCAGTCCCAGGACGAAGCAGTGTGCTGAAGTAACCAGTTATTCTGACATTTTTTGCTTCTTTTTTGGACCGGAATGCACCAGATCTGGCAGGACCTGAGAGCTCTTGCAGTGGAAGGAATAATTAATTATAGATTAGGCAAATGATTAGGGATTTAAAACAAGAAGCAAAAACACACACCAGCTTTAAAATAAATCTTTCATCCTTTACCAAACAAAGTTTTTCCCAGCCCAGGTTGATGGGGTAAATGTTTCACGCTAAGGAAAACAAAACACAAATAGAATTCAGATTTTTAAGACAGCACCAGTTAAAACCAGAATTGCTGGTTGATATCCAAACAGTCTTGGGAATCCATTTACTGCAGACAACGAGGGGCACTCAGCAGACACACACACACACACACACACACACACACACACACACACACACACGCAACAGGAAGAGCCAGGAATAGCCAGCCAAGGGAATGACCAGAATGGGGGTGTCCAGCAGCACCACAGACCCCTAGGATCCAGAGAGGATGTACTGCACAACGGGTCTGTCGTTTCAGGGGCCCCCCACTCAAACTCATTTCCGGGCCCGTCACCACCCCTAAAAATCTATATAGCTTACAGGTAGAGACAGAAGAATGTAGCTAGTGAGCTGGTTAGCAGATCATGCCACTCCGACATCACCTAAAATAAGGAACGAGATTTAATATTTAGTGTAGTGACTTTGTGGCCAACAGGGGGCCCCAATCCTCAGAGGCTCCATACAAATGCACGGTTCGAGTGGCGGTAAGAACCACCACTGCAGACAACTGAAAACACCAGGAAAGCAAATCACTAAGCACTAAAAAAAAGAGGGACACCAATCAGGAAGATAGAAGCACAAGTCAGTAGACTAATCCAATGGGGGGAGGTCCGGCCCAAGCTGGGGTGGGGCTGAATCCACAACACCACACCACAACACACCTGTGTATTGGCCTTTACCAATACGGAGGGGGGGGGGGGGGGTTAGCAAGCTTTGATTAAAAAGGCTGGTTGATTAAAAAGGGTTGGTTCCTGCATGTGCCCATTGTTCCCGCGATAGGCTCCGGTCCCCCCCACGACCCCAGTTGGGATTGAGTGGTTACGGTGACGGATGATTAAAAAATGGCTGATTGGCATACTACTAATTACACTGAAAAGTGCAATTTCATACCCATATCTCCAGAGAGAGATCCACCCCCCCCCCAATGAGACTAAGATCCACAGGAGCACCATCACACTGAAGCTGAAATCCAGCCAAGAGCAGCGTCTGGGCGGCTGCGTCAGGAGAAGGGAAATGTTAGCATTATAGGGAGGGTGCCCCCTCGCTGCCGCGTCTGCATTTAGGAAGAGTCCCTATTTAGAACAGTCCGGAAACCACAATTCTGAGGAAGACAAACTTCAGAAGTAGATTTTCTTTTTATACTAGAATAAAAACTTACATAAAACGCATGTTATCAGAAGTCAGGGCAACTTGGAGGGAATCTCACACATAAGACATTCAAATATTTAGGGTCTGAAAGTAACAAGCCACACAAAACTTACACTCTGTGTAAAATCCTAACATACGGCCCTGGACAGTAAGTTGGCCTGGTTTAGCCATACTTTGGTAACAGACACCTGTTCGTTTTGGAGAACAACTACACACAAGTATCCGACCAGAGGAGAAAGCCTTCGGCACAAACATACTGCTCTGGTTTCTGACAATTTGAAACACACCTATTTCCAGCTGCCAGAACTAAATTACCCAGAAGTCCACTGGGACCCATCAGCCCATGGTGCTCAGACAGCTGCAGGGAACCTCCCTGGGCCTCGGTTCTAAGGTTTTAGTGTAGCATTCAACATCAAACATTTGACACTTTCATCACCAAAGGGAAAAAAATAATAATGCAGGACTGGTGCTTCTCTAGGATTAGGACAGAATCACTCACTTTAACCTGAGCAAAGACCTCAAAGACAAGCAGATATATATATATTTTTTTTCTTTTTTTAAAAAAAGAAAAGAAAAAAAAACAGGTTGGGCTTGACTACAACAGTGCAGGTCCAAACAGCCACGGAGCAGAGTTGGAACATCCACCTGTGTTGGCACAGCAGAGACTGAAGTTACCCCACCCCCCACCGCTGCTGGAACAGGCCTCAGAAAAGTATACAGTGTCTCCCGACAGAGCCCTGCACACCAGACCTGTCATTTTCAAAACCACAGCCACGGACAGCAGGCAGCAGCGAAAATACAGGCAGAGGCGGGCGGGGGGCGGGGGGGGGCACTCCAGTTAACTCTCAGGGGAATGCGAGTCAGGACTCGCTGTGAAACATGTTTAAAGAAATTGCAAATAACCCTTAAGATATTTCAAAGAAAAATAAAAAGTAAAAATTACATAGATCAGATTTACAGAGGTTTCATATTGCCATTGCTCACACCAATATAAATATATATTGATTAGTATTACACTTACTAACACGGAAGGGCAAAAACTAAAGTTACCAGATATAAATATTATGTTGATCATCTACCATTTCAAATGTGCCCATAAGTCCAGATGGGCTCCAGTACATCAGAGCACGCAGACCTCTATCATAAAGGCAGACAAACAGCAATACCAGACACCCAAATTTTAAAGATCTTCAGGAAAAGGAGAAAAACAGGACCCTCCTTCCCACCAATTAAACACTAAGCTGTGGACCTGAAGAGCCACACAAACACAGGAAGGGTCAGAGAGATGACAGCTTGTGTGGTCATAGCCTCAAATGGTGGTCTTTTACCAGGCAACTACACATCCCAGATGACTGAAAACTGCGTGGATTCTCCAACACCAAACATCAGAACATCTCAAACACAGCAGGGCAAGGAAATTTAAATTTAAGTCACGTCCTTAGAAGTGATTTTTAGCCCAAGGGCCATGGTCTGCAGGCTTTCAATTATCAGCCAATTTAACTCACAGCGAACTTTGGCTTCCCATAAGGGGCTAAGTCGCTGTAAAGAGCAGAGAACCACAGTGCATGAGGAATAGAATCATCCACCAGTGCACTGAATGCAGAACAGAACCCATCACATAAAATTTTTCCATCTATAAAAGAAAAGTAGATATTACAAAGATAGTTACATCAGTTCCCATAAGATTTATGGTAGGCCTATATGCTAGATGGATACCACTCTAGTTTAATCAACAGGCCAAATAATCTTAAGCAAATCACAGATTTTGTTTAACGCTGGCGAAATACATCCTCCAGAGGAAGGAAGACTACAAATATGTCATCCCAGTGTTTAAGTGACGATGGAGAGAAAACCTGAAGAACAATGCACCAGTCTGCTCAGATAAGACGCGTTTTTCTGGTATTACGTTAGGGACCGGTCGACCCACGCACACACAAAGTTGGGGATACGACTTGCCAATTCTGGCAGTACCGCTTAACAGGTTAAGGACATTAATTGTTCTCGAGCAAGGCGAATTTTACTTAATAGTGCGATTTGGCCTTTCCCCTCTCACCACCCCGACCTACAGGGAGTACTTACCGAACACGTTTGTGTGTACTAAAGTGAATCAAAAGCTTGCTGTAAAGTGCTGCTCCTTTGTATCATCTTACAATCTAATTTGCTTTCTAAACGGGAAAGGGCAAGAAAAAAAAGACACGCAGATTTGGATATCCAAGAGCGTACGCAATGCATTTCCCCATAGATGATCAAATTTAAAGAGCCCTTTCCTGTCATTAACTCCCCACATACAAAATTCCCACCTTTACATATCATCAGGTGGTATCAAATATAATAAAAGCACCCGCCACGCCTCACACAAACGACTCAGGGACCGTGTACTTTAATAAACGGTTAAAACGCGTACTGTTTTATTATTCCTGTCCTCCAAAACACTCCAGCGATTCAGTGCAATACTTGTTTAACAAACGCAAAAGACGCAAAATGAAACAAATGTATCAAAAAGGCACAAAGAAACAAAGCAAACATTTCGAGTAAATGGTTTCCAAAAGAAACGACGTACTTTTGTGTTTACCGACGCCCCATGATTGTTTCGCAAGACTTGGACTCCGGATAATCGCCCTGCCAGCAGATTTTAGGGCATCCATACTTCACGGAAGAGAGGAAAGGAGGGGATCGTCCAGCAAGCTCCGGCTTCCCTTCCTCGCAGCCCCAGGCGCTCCTTCAGATGCCACCCTCTCTATCACCACTTCAACTTTCCTACCCCGTTTTAAATCAGTGGGGAGGTACGAGCCAAAGGGGTTATTGCGTCTCGCCCCGATGGGCGGCGTTAATTATGTAAACCATCCGGATCCGGCGCCTCCCGCTTATACCCACGGGAGCCGCTGTCGCGCTTCGGGCTCCCGAGCAGCGCGGCGCTGCCGCTGGCAGGTAATGATGCGCTTGGTGACGCTGGAGGCATGTGGCCACGACGTTTGCCCAAAAAATGCTTTTGCACCAGTACAAAATGTGATAAACTAAACACATATCCAGCGCGTGTTAGCTCCGTAATCAGGACAAGCTTGTCGGCATTCCGGTGTTCCTTTTCCAGGGCTGCGTACTAACATCCTGCGTCATCCAGGATTATGTTAAATATGTAAACAACTGCTACAGTACACAGCCTACATATCGAGGTTAAATGCAGTAGTGGTTCTGTAGGTAATGGAAAAATGTTTAAAACACTTTCACTTTTATTATAAAGTGAGCGGTATCGAAGCGTGGTAAATCCAGCACAACTGAATATTTTGAGACACTCGATATTGCATAAAACTGTCGTCGAGAGATGGTGGATGAGATCGTAGTGCGCCAACAATCACCGGCGGGTCCCGCCCACTGGAGCCCTAACAGAATAGGAACATGGCTGGATTGGTTTGCGTTGGGGGGCCCAAATCTCTAGCTCGCTGCTGCCTAGAACAATTATCATTCTAAGACTTCAAACAGTACCATTAATCTGCCTTTAATTTGGATCCGTGGTTATGCTCAAAACTCAGACCTATGAGACCTTAAGCCCTAAATCCACAGCCTTGATCAGTCCATTCAAACTCCTCTCATTTTCTTGTCAGTAACCCCTCATTTTTCAGTATTCTGATGCTGCTCTGACAATAGGGGTGTAGCTGGAAGTCCTGGCTCTGGTAAGAAAATGTCACATTTTTATAATTATGTGTATCCAAGGCCCCTTGTGAAGTGCTGTCCCACCCCTAGTCAGCCCCCTGTCTGTCATACAGTAATACTTACTGTACCAACTAATTGCTTAATTTATTTCCAGTAAAAAAAAAAAAAAAAAAAGGAAACATTTGAAAGAGTAATTTGTAAGGCGGAGTTTTTCCATTTTGCGGAATTACAGAGCTGCTGCCCTTGGACCGTCTGTCCTAAAGCAGACTGACAGGCTTTCATCTTTTTATAAATTAATACTCAGCAGGGGGCCAGTTTCCCCATTAGTCAAGGGGTGTTTTTGCTGCTTTTGTGATACTTTCAGTGAACTCCAGGGTATTGCTTAAACCACACCCTTCTTAATTTTAGGAAATGTTATGCTGTGGGCACAGGAGCAGCAGGCGGGAGGCGACTGGAACTGGCGTGCAGACATACAACCCCACACACATCTACATTTATTACACTTTATTATATAAAATGTATTTAAATAAACGGACTGAAATCACCTTCTCGTTTAAACTGATGGCAGGGCTGGGAGCGCAAGAAAGATTGGATTACGTTTATAATCTCCTTTTACAGACGCAGAACACCGAGTGTGTAATTTCTTGGTCATGCACATCCCTAAAGACGTGGGATTATCTGACATCCGTCATGCTCTAGGCAGTATTCTGAACCGTTTAGCAGCCGAGTTAATAAGTAAGCTGAATGCACAGGAGATGTAACAGATGACACGATGCACGGATTTTCCAAACAGCTTGCATCACCTGCAAGGTTTTCCGTTTAATTTTTCGTGAACCCCACAGAGAGAAAGAGGACAAACAATGTGGCACAGGCCATTTCAGAAGAATAAAACGTGGCCGTGCACTGGCAGACGGAAAGAATTTCTTTTTTTTTTTTTTTCCTTCAGTGTGGCAAAATCCCAGGAACCCAAATTGTCACTACAACGCAGTGTACGTCTCCTATGTAAGACCCCCAAAAAGAGGAGAAAAATCAGATTTCAAGTATGGCAAAATGTACATCAATCGCAGGATATTTCCGGGCAATATTGTGACACACACACACACACAAAGATCTAATCCAGACGAAACCTACAATCTACTTGGTTATGTCTTAGTGCTGATGTTATTCAACCAGGAAATATGTACCCCGCAGTCGAGTAAGAAGTGTGCCCATGTAAGGATTGATTACTTATTGCCTTTAGAGTACGTTTTGTTGCCCAAAAATTTCCTTCAATATAATTAGTCTTAGCACCTTATGAACCGTATTTTGACATCAGAAGTCTCTGAAAGGACATTCATGAAAATGTAATCACAAAGGAAAGTGGAATTTTAATTAAAAAAAACGAGGCATTCACTTGAAGGAGGATCTCTAAACTAGCAGACGGCAATTCTTCGTGTGGTGGGGGGGCACCAATACGGTTGGTGCCGCTTCTTATAGTTATTAATACAAGTTGCAGTCTCCATCTCACTTATGCCCCTTTTGAAAAGCATGCCTTACTGGGTGCAGTATCAACGAGGCAAGCGACAGACGGAACAAGAGCCTCTGATCAATAATCTAATGTAAAGTGGACAATCCCTAAATCAAAGGTGGGAGAGACAGTATCAAGGCACTGGATTAACAACAACCAGCAATATGTAATCTTACGTTATGTCTCTTAAAAAAATCTTGGTTCTCTGCTGTGTAATAATGTTCCTGGAAACACTGCTGTTGAATTTGGTCCAGTAAATAAAGAAAAGAAGTGTTTAGTGCAAGACTATTTCTGCTAAATCTAGGCAGTATTTTATTTATTTTTTTTTAACTTTTGCATCTTCTGAACCGACAGAGAAAGGAGATTTGTTTTGACATCTGTTCCAAAAACGAGGACAGCTGCGTCTCACCTTCACAGAGCTCCCAGAGCATCTCACAGACGGTCCATGGAAGAGCTGCTCCCCGAAGGGGAGGCAGATCTGCCGCTGCGGGCATTCCCCGTCCTTTGGGAGGACATCTTAAACACAGCTTTCTTTTTTTCTTTTTAAATAAAAAAGAGCCAGCGGTACCTGGCCAACAAAAGAGGTCAACACTGTCACCACTATACTGACGTAAAAATGAGAGCACTGATGGGACAAACTAAATGTACAACCCGCTCGCGTTTGCAGTGCAACCCCAGGACTTCAGAATACTGTAATGACACAATCTCACCATAAATATACACACAAAACCACCTGCTTCCTTTGTTTTTCCTTTTAAGTTCCTGGCGTTGAATGGACTTTGTACTCCTGTGTGTAACAGACTTTCACTTAGAAATAATAGG